AGAGCCCCCGGCGGCCAGAGCGCCGGGAGGAGGGCGGAGAGCCCGGCTGGGGCTCTCCGCTCTCCCCGGCTGCCAGAGTGCTGTGAGGAGGGCGGCGAGCCCAGTCGCGGCCCCGCTCTCGGGCCAGAGCGCCCCGCCGCGCTGCCCCCCTCCAGGCGCCGCCCCAAGCACATGCTTGGTGGGCTGGTGCCTGGAGCCGGCCCTGGAAGGGACACAGCCCAGGTCCCACTGGCCAGGGTAGCACATAACTCTTCCACCATTAAACTAACTGGTGTTGAGAGCCCAAGGAAAGCTGCCAGCTGTGGTGCTTTTTTGTTTGCAAGGAACTGGTCTAAGACCTACCAACTTGTCTAAGGGCCACCAAAGAGCTATCAGATGGTTGCAACTACCAACCTGGGCTGGGTTCAGATACTCAGCCTGGCAAAAGGGCAAAGGCCAAGCATGTCCTTTACTCAGCAGAATCTGTACAGTTCACCTGATCCCTGCAACACCCGTGAATCATCTTTGCATGTTTGCCAGTATGGAAAACTGACCTGGTGGTGAACAATTCTGCTTCCCAGTCCCCTGAGCCATCTGATCTCCTCACCAGTTTGCGATGGATTAGTGATTAATATAAGTCTAAAAAATGTCTAGCAGGTAATTAACTTACTAGCTTAGCTTCAAGTACTTGTTTATTGAGATGGTGGTTTGCTGGAAGAACTTAGAGCATCTTAATAGGCTTGCTGCCCTGACTGAGTGGCGATGTATAGATGGAATGGAAATATCCAGGCCATTACTCATACAGGGCAGGTCCTTTGAGTGGAGCACTGACAAGATCCACATATGATTGTTGCTCATTCCCTGATGAATCTCCCCAATCCTTGGGGGTCTTTGTCTTAGCAGGTGAATGATGTCCTGAGCCTTGTGTGTGAGATTAGCAGCGTCACACAAGGTGAGTGGCTGTCTGGGCAGCATTTTTCAGTCATGTCCTTGCTCCCCAAGGGTTCAGGTGGAGGCCTGACAGTTGACGTAGAGATCTGTGGCTGACCCTCTTTCACTGGGCCTATGGCATTAATGCGGGGAATGGTCAAGCCGTTCTGTGACACACCTTGGATTGTGGGAGGGGTCGGGGACAGGCACCTAGTTTACCTGTATTAACAGTGAGGATCATAGGTGCAGACTCCGTGAATGCTCTGGGGCTGGAGCACCCATGGGGGAAAAAATGGTGGGTGCTGAGCACCTACTGGCAGCCCCCTATCAGCTCCCCCCCTCCCATTCCCAGCGCCTCCCACCCGCCGATGGGCCCTGCCATCAGCGCCTCCCTCCCTGCGCCTCCCACCCGCTGTGAACAGCTGTTTCGCCACATGCAGGGAGGCTGGGAGGGAGGGGGAGGAGCGGGGAAGCGGTGCGCTCGGGGGAGGGGGCAGAACTGCGTGGGAAGAGGTGGGGTGGGGGTGGAGCAGAGGCAAGAAGAGGCGGGGTGTGGCCTTGGGGAAAGGGGTGAGTGGGGGCTGGGCCTGGGGCAGAGCCGGAGGTTGAGCACCCCCTGGCAGTTGAAAAGTCGGTGCCTGTGGTGAGGATTAAGCTCCCCTGGGGCTGAGAGCCAGGGTCATGAGGCTAAGCACTGAAAGGAAATGCATTAGTGCCCTGTGGCAAAAGTTCCCTCTGTGCTGAGGCCAGGCAGAAGGTGATGTTGCAGCTGCTCATCAGATGGGTGGGGGCAGGGGCCGTGATATGGGCCTCACTGCCTAATTTGCAGGACACCCTTCCCTCG